CAGCATGAACCTCTCTCTGTCATTCATTCATGTGTGTACAAGCACACAAAGATGTAAAAGTGTTGCAGAATCCCACAATATGGAAACAGCTGTATAAATGTAGGGCCTTTATATTATTTTGGGTATTTATATAAAGCTTTTAATCCTATAATGTATGCATTGTTAAAATCTTAGATTTGTTTTGCTTTGTTGAAATGCTGTAATAATGTAATATCACAGTTTTTTCTCTGTTTTGGAAGAGCTCCACCCTTCCTCCAATTCTTCATAGAATATTTCATGATTGTCCAATCTCCCCATAATTGTTTATACAATTTAGTTGCAGAAGTGGTTGCACCTCCAAGAGGCACAGAACAGAACAGAACTTACAGTCCAGGGGAGAGGGGCTCGGGTGGCTTTAAGACACCTTTGTACCCTCCTGATCCTGGGCTGCTTCGGGGTGTGGAACAGTCTCTGTCATAAGTTATACAGGCCAGAGGGGCTGTTTAAATTATACACTATGGGTTGCAGCATTGCCTGGAATCTGTGCAACACTGAATGCTGTGGCCCCTTCCCAATCGATCCTTAATATATCCCCTACACCAGGGCTTGTGAGGGGTCCTTGAAAAACAGCCTTATGGTTGTCTTATGTACCTGGATTGCAGGAGTGATGCCTGTCTGCACTGGGGGAATCCTCCAACAGCCAGCATTGGGGCTTTATGCCACTCTGGCCCTTCTACTTGATATGAAGGGAGCCAGAGCAAGGGCGAGGATCTCACGTATGTATACAATTTTACCTCCTATTTCATAATTTTAAAGTCCTAAATGCCAAAAACAATTGTATGCAATCTGTACTAAAGGTATTACTGTGAGATCCAAATGGTTCTACAGAACTGAAAATATCAACTTGAAAGCAATGTTTCCTACTGAGAAGCTCAATGTCTGATGACTGCAGCCATGATACATTCTGTCATTGAAAGTTCCAAGCAGTACTAGATCACCAATATAACAGTAAGTCTGGTTATAGTAATATGAATAGAAAAGCCCCTGACATTTTGTGGAATTTTTGTAAAATGTATCAGGTTGAAATGGGAATATTTAATTAGTTCTTATGCATGAGTTCCATAAAAAAATAAAAGTTCAGCACTTTGAAATACTTGCAACTCTTCAACCAACCAACATTATTGCAAGTATTCAGATGAAACCTCTCCTGGATGGAACTTTCATATATAAAATCACAGAGGTCATATTTTTCAAAATTGTGGGCCTCAAGTTGGGTACCTCAAGTTGTCTGAAGTTGAGCACCCAAAATTAAGGCACCCAGAGTCACTAATCAGTTTTGATAATCTTGGTCCTAAGGTAATAGCTTATCCATTCCTTTTCACCTTAGACAGTAAGATTTCTTACAGCTGGGACAAGTTACAACTTTGACCTTAATTTGAAAGATGAGTTCTGTGGTAAAAAATGTATAGAAGTGAACACATTCTAATTTTGACCTACTCAGGATCTGAACCGAAATTTCCAGCATTTACAGAGAAGTAAATTAAGTTATCTGTCTTCTGAAGATTTTTTTTAATAAATGCAAAACCATAAAAATTTTAAAGTTGATATTTCTCATGTCCTTGTATCTAAACAAAAAGGTAAATCTATACAGTTTAATAAAGATAATTTATTTTCCTAGATGTGAAAGCAAATTTATCTTGAATTATTTATTTTTTTAAGAATGAGTTATTAGTGTTTGAGGAATCAAATGTGTATGCAGTTCTGGTGAGCATTTTCTATTCATATTAATATAACCAGACTTACAGCTATATTGGTGATCTCTTGTGCTTCGAGCTTTCAGTGACAGAATGTATCATAGCTGCAGTCATAAGACATTGAGCTTCTCAGTAGGAAACATTGCTTTAAAGTTGATATTTTCAATTCTGTAGAACCATTTGGATTTTACAGTGGTATTGTCATGCATTTATTAGTTAATCCAGATTGCATACAATTGTTTTGAGCATTTAGGAATTTAAAATTATGAAATATTAACTGTCCAAGTACAGGCAGCAATCTGAGTTCTACACAAGTTTGTGTTTGTGTGTGAAGTTTAGTGTCTCAACTAAAATATAGGGATCTGTTTGAATTTACCCTAATTGTGAGCTCAAATATAAAAAGTTTGTGAAAGTTCATAAGATGTCATAATAACCTATAATAACAAATGTGGATGGGAAAATTGGACTGAAATAGTCCAAACAAAAGACCTACTGATATAACTCAAGGACTGTGTTAAGATCATGCCTGGTAAACAAGAAAATGTGGGTCTGGAGACTAACGAACCAAAATTGAGGAGTCAGGTATTAGGCCTAATTGGTGGACAAAATAATGAGGGGATGGGCTATTCCATCCATAGCTTCCTTTTTAGGTCCTTAAAGAAAGAGACGTTGGGGGAAAAATACAGAAGAATGGATGGAGGTTACTAGAGTGAGTTTCAACATCATGACTGCCATCCCCATCATCTGCTGCGATCCTGAGCCTTCGTTATCCTGATCCTGAAAGATGTCCTGACATGACCAGGCCACAGAGAGGTACCTAGATGACACTGGAATTCACCTGGAGCAGAGACGGGTGACAAACACCACATGGGAAGACATGGGATTACAACTTTAACAGCAGCAACAACAGCTCCAGATCATTTCTACGAACTTTTCTTTTACCCAAAAGGTCAGTTATTACCATCTTTGATACCATGTGAGAAACTGTCAAATAAGGTTTTTTTTTCCCCTTCTAAAAGCTCTCTTCAGCTAACAGGAAGGGGAGCAAGGAATATTGCTAAAATGAAAGCCTTACTTTAATACTTTACATTTCAAATGCTAACTGTTTTTCTTTCTTTTCTGTATCTAACAGAAGGTTAAAAGGATTTTTAATGGTGTGTTTGCCATGGTACTAAGCAGACTCAGGTCTCTGTATACTAAACTCTGAACCTTATTTAAAACTGTTTTAATGTTGGACTGTGAGAGAGTCATGTTAACACCTTTGACTCTTTGGACCCATATATTCCATCTAAATTAATATATTTTATTGCCCCAGTCCTGCTTTCAGGGAACATAAAATCTGGCACAATGCTCACATAAATCTGCACACATACAGGGGGCTGGATCCATTTCCTGCTGTAAAATCATTGATTTAAACAGTTACTCTAGGAATGAATTTGGCCCATGATCTTTATCATAGCAGCTGTGCAGAGACATATGTTTCATACAAGATCATCTGTTTATTATTTTGATAATTCCTTGCTTTACTGAAAAAAGAAAGTTGATGGAATTCACAGAGACGTATTAAAGTTTAACTTTGTCTCTTTATAAGATTAAACCTATTTAAACAAGACAACTAGGCACGTTATCTAAAAGGTGACTTGCAAATGAAAATTCCCCCCCCCCATTTGCTTCATGATAACATATAACAAAGGCCTGAAAAGTGTTTCTCTGCACCCCTCTTTGACTGCTTTTTTTAATCTTAGAAATTCAGATACTGTCTATCCTGAAACACTATGGATGACTAGAAAGCTAGCAGGTTAGCCACAGTAGACACATATACCAAGGAAGTGAAACCTCATTGAAAGGGAATTTATTTTTATTATGATTGTTTAAAACTCTGTTTTTTTGTTAACACCTTTTTAACTTTAACGTTTGAGAGGAAGTGTTTAATAGATGTTAACAGAAAACAAAGTTTTAAACAATCATAATAAAAATCAGTCCCCTTTCAACACAACCCTTTAATTAATAGCGGAGGAAGCATACAATTCTCATCTGAGTCATTCTTGTCAACCAACAAAAATTGGAAAAATAAGACCTCACAGTGCTAAGGTGAAAAACAAGGAGAAAGAAACTTTAAAATAAGGACTTTTTCAGGATCTATTAATGCATAATTATAAAAATAAGGAGGTCAAAAACAGATTCCTCCTCCTTTCAGGTCTCTCTTAGCATCACAATAGTGTATCTAATCAAAGCCTTAGCATTGTTCCCTGTAGTTCTGGTTGGATGAATAATAATGCTTTCAGATACAACTGTACTGGCAATATTGATTTAGAAGCAGAGTCCTGCCTTTGTTGTCATTCTCTGGGGAATTGTGTGGCCTATAGCGAGGTACAAAGCTTTAAGGGGAACATCTTGGTCAAGTGACATACTCATAAAAATCGTGCTGTATCTGTAATGACATGCTATCCTTCCTTGTTCATAAGAAGAAATATTACATAACGCCTGTGCTCATGTATTATATTTACTTACTGAGTCAGGAATAATTTCCCAGTCCCAGTTCAATGCTCAGCAGCAGTAAGTTTCTGTAAGGATCCCACTTAACTTCCTTTATTTGCATGATGACTTGTCTATTGTCTAATGGTTGTATCAAGTATTGTATCGCTCCCTCTGCCTGGATTCTCTGGGAACAGGCGGGGTTGGGATCAGCACAGGAGAAAAAGGGAGGGGCTCTTTCTTCCGGGCTTTTACAGCAGGAGGTTTCCTGAGCGGGCAGGGGCAGGCAGCCGGCTGTCCGCGGCCAGAGAAAGCCTGGGAAGAGCGGCGCTCAGCCCGGAGAGCGAGTCTTCTCTTCCCCACCTCAAGCTGGCCAATAGCCCGTCTACCCCCGACCTGCTCCCCCGCCCTCCACACGAAAAGACTCCCCTAAAGCGAGACCCCCCGAGAGTTACCCCCTCTTAAAAGCCGCGCCCGAGAGACTCCCAACAGGGGGGCGTTCCCTCCCGGGGGGGGGCGAGGCGAGGAAGCCCCCCCCTTTCCACCGCCAGACCCCCCCCCCATAGTGAGACCCCGGATCCCCAGGAAGGAGCCCTCGATCCCCCTCCCCATAGTGGGACCCCTGGGAAGGAGCCCTAGGGGGCTGGGCTAGGGCTGGGCCGTATTACGGGAGGAGGTAGCGCTGCCCTGACCTTGTTCCCGGGCCTCCCTGGGGAGCGGCGGCCTCTCCCCTCCCCCGTAGCCGGGCCCGCCCCTCTCCCAGCCTCCTCCGCGGCTCCCCCTCCCCTTGTCCCCAGCCCGGTGGAGCCACCGCAGCCTGACTCGCCGCAGCTACCTCGCGTCCTGCCCCGGTCGCCGAGGAGACCCCGGCCGTGTGCAGCCAGCCCGGACCCTGTTCTCTGCAGCCTGCGCTGCCCGCGGAGCCGCCATGAGCTGGGGCGCGGAGCTGTGGGTGAGTCGCTGCTGGCGCCTCATTGTGTCTGGGATTCACCCGCTCCTAGTCTGCCGAGGGGCTCCCGGGGGAGCGGGGCCGGGGGCTGGCGGGCTTTTGTTCGGCTGCCGAGAGGAGGGACAGGCCCATGGCCCTCCCGCCCCCTGGCAGCCGGGCCGAGGCGCTTGGGGATGGGCAGCGGGGGGCACTGGGGAGGGGGCGGGTGGGCGGTGGGGAGCGATGGGGAGG